GAATGTTTCGTGGAAATGAGGATGGTATTTGTGTGTGTGGTTTAGTGTTTTGGTTTTCTTGGTCAATGAGTTTGTTGTGATTCTATCGATCGTGTTAAGAGTAGTGTTTGTATTGTGGTTGTTATGAGTTAGTATGGTTTTGTGGTATTATTAGATATTGGATGGAGTTTATGAATGTGAGGAGAATTTAGTGGTTAGAAGCTGGAGGTATTCCTTGGAAAGAAGTAAGGTTCTGTTCTCGGGTAACGAGTGTGGCATTGGTGAAAATTCTTTGTGTCCAGAATTGGGTGATTGCCGTTGACCATACCAGTCTTATGTTTGAGAGGTGATGGAGGATTAGCCTTGTAAGCATATAAGTGGTGGTTTCCTTGGAAACGATGGTGGTATGGCCAAATCTTGAGGAATCTGATGGGATTCAAGGAATATGAGGACTTGTGTGTGGAACTCCATCTTGGAGTAAGTGGTGTTGAGTAGCACGTCGATGTTTGGTACCGAGTGTAAAGTTTTATCAAGTTGGTTAGTCAATTGGTTGATGTCAGAATTTGGTTAACAAGTAGTCACCTTGGGAATAGATTGGGCTGGTGTGCAAGGTTGTAAGGTTATGGGTGCATTAGAGTGGTTTGGCGAGCATTAAGTCTCATGTATGTGGTTGTGAAGCCTATGTGAAATTTGTCTTGAATTTGTAAAAAATCATCTGGTTGGTGTAACGTATTGTGAATTCTTCGTTTTACGTGTACATTATGCCTCGTGTAGCTGATAATTTATGATGATGGTTATAACATAATATAATTGCAAGATTGTGGATTTTTCTTGTCCTTTGTTATGTTGATAGCACAGTTGTAATTTCTATTAATTGTATTATAGAAATGTTACGTTTATGTTAGTTGTGGCATCACAATAAGAGTAATAAAATACTTTAATGTTGTCATATAAAAAATATTATAATAAATTATAATCAAACATTACTTGAAACATAATTAAAGATCCAATGCACCACTTTACACATAACTAAAAATATAAGAAATTAACAAAGACCTTTTCAATTAATAACCAAAATAATACATCATGAGTCATAACCAAGTCATAATTTGTGTATTATAGAATTTTCTGTTGTTTTATTTTTTTTTCAGAAAAAATATATTTCGATACAAGTGAAATTCATGATTTTTAGCAAATTTGATGAACACAAATGAGGATTTGATTTTAAATCGAGAACACACATTTTTTTTTTTATAACTTTGAAAGAAATTATTTTGAGTCTTAATACAGTAAGATCACACACAGTAACAAAAATTTTCATCAACCATTAGCAAATCTTTTTGTATTTGGTTTTCAATTGTTAAAATTTTCTATACATAAAGTGTTAAGACTCAAACTCATTTTTTCATTTTAAAATTAAATACTAATATATATAAAAGTAGTATTTTTCTCTTTCTTAAGTGACACATTCTAAGGGCTTACTTTTCTTTAAAAAAAAAAAAGCCGCATCAACATGTATTTTCTATTTACATATAGAGTTCTACACAAATTCAAATCGAAACCCAATTTAAATTATACTAATTTTACCTATTTTATATGGACTCTATAAAATAGTCGTTGAATTTATTTTATATTATTGATATTTTAATTTAATTAAGAGTGTTTATTTTATAATCTTATAATTTAATATATATCACATAAAATTATTATATGATAATCCAAGTACAACACATTTATATTTAATTTTTTTAATAAATTTTATATAGTTTCTATTTCTACATATTTTTATTTTCCAAATGAATATAAAAGAAATTCAAATAATTAGAATTACTTTTAATTTTATATTACTACTTCTTCTTCTAATTTAATTATTATTTGTAATATCAAAATGAGTATTTATTTTGCTATCTTATAATTTAATGAATATGATAAAAAAAAAATTATTATATGATAATTATAATTTTATAATACGATAGAACTAAAATTATTAAAATATGTAAATAATTTAACTAAAATTAATATATATAAATATTCAAGTAATACTTTTATAAAATGATAGTATCAATATTATTAAAATAAATAATTAAATCATACTTTAATTTTAATTTTAAATTTAAATTTAAATTATTCTTTTATAATACATATCGTACCATCAAATATATATTTTTTTAATATAGCGAGTGTATTGCACGGGTCAACTGCTAGTTGAGTTTAATGACTAAAATATATTTATTTATTTTTTTGTTAGTTTTATTTTACTAAAATAGACAAATAATTTATATTGAAAATAAATTAAAATATTAAGGGCCTATTTGGTAACCATTTTATTTTTAATTTTTCGTTTATATTTACAAAAATTTTAAATATTAGTATAAAAACATATTTGGTAGTTTTTTTAGTTTATAAATAGTTAGTCTTAGTTTATAAATAAGGGTGAAAAACAAAAACAGAAAAAAGATGTTTTTGGTTTTTTAAAAACCAAAAATGCGGAGCAAAACACCAAAAAAATAAAAATAAATAAATAAATTTAAGATTGACCACAGTATTAGTTTGGCGTTCAAAACAAGGGAGGCACATTTTTAACCATATATGTTCAACGGTAATATATTTGTCTTCCTCAACGGTAAAAAAATAAATAAATAAAAAATAAAGATGATCAACAGCTCTCTCGATCTTCTATCTCTATAAAATATGAATAAAATATATTTATATTTCACCTAATTTCATACATATTTTTTTTTTATTTCTAAATTCCTTCCTAAATCTCTCAATTAAACACAATGTGAGAATATCTTCGGAAACGAGATTGCTATTGCTGGATTGCACAAACCCAGTTGAAATTATAGGGTTTAAAGAAAACTTAATTGGAAAACTTGGAAAGATAGGGATTAAATGAAGAGGATTGGAACCCCTTATTTTCGATGGATACAAAAAAGGATTGATATCGACATTGCAGGGATGGGGTTCCTGGAGAAGATGAGTGAAGAGTGTTGGTATAAGATTTTGTAGTTGAGGTTTTGTTAAAAGTAGAGATGATTGTATTGGGAGATTAGTTTCTGGGTAGTTTTTGGAGAAGAGAAGCCATTGAAGATAAAAATAAATAAATAAATAAAAAGAAAAATATTATGAATCACAAATAATCTATCAAATTTTTTATCAAATCTCTCACATGATTGTAGGACCCACACAAATTCACATTTGTATGAGTCTCAAGATTTGTGTGGGTCCCACACCCATATGAGAGATTTGATAAAAAAGTTGATAAATTATTTGGGATCTTTAGTATAACTCAAATAAAAATGTTTTACTTCCAGAAGAAAAAAAACTCTGTGATTTATGAATTAAGCTTTTTTTTTTTTTTTTTTTTGCAATCAAAAAAATTATATTGATTGGTATTTTTTTTGTAATTTTCTTTTTTCATTTGTATGATTTTTATTGTTATAAATAATTTTTTAAAAAACAAACATTTTATGTATTAAAATTAACAAGCATATTTTTGAGTTATTGTTTTTAAATTTTTTTAAATATTTTATTCAAACCAAACATGTTTTCAGTTTTTGTTTTTCTAAAAATAAATAAAAACTAGTTTATATTTTTTTTAATAAATATAAACCAAAGATGTAAACGTTATCAACCGCTACTAAAGATTTAAATTGACCAAATTAAAAACTTAGAATTTATTTTGTTACATAGTCAAACCTTAAAATTTTTTGTGTAATTTTCCATATATTTTTTTCAGAACAGAATTTTTTACAAAACAAAAGTTGGTATGCAGAAACGGTTGATGGATAGTAAGTGCTATAAAGATTCAAGATAAATACAAAAACATATGTAAACTATTTCTTTGTTATTTGTATTTTTGTGAGAACCGTGTGAGTATTTCAGGTGGTATATAAGATTTTATATATTTCTGTATATATATTATGAAAAATGTTTAGGAGAATTTTTTTTCTTTTAAACAAAAATAAAAAGAAAAAAAAGAAGAAACACTTAACTCACAATGATATCACATAACAAATATTGACTTTTAATTTTTCAGCCACCGAATGATATACTCCCGACATATTATTAAATTTAAAATTATAAATTTCTAACATTTTTATAGTTCCATATAATTGAATATGTGAAAAATAAAATGTTAACACCCATCATTCCACGTTATTATGAGTAAAATGAATAAACTCTCTCTCCATACTCATTCGTACTCTTCTTATGAGCTCAATTTCATATTCAAATCAATGATCTAAATCGTCTACTTTGTATGTTTCGTAATAAAAGTCATTCATGCAAATAATCAATTTCATCTGACATCTATAAACATAAAAATAAATCACATTTTATTTTATAAAATAAATAACAAATATGATTATAAAGTTGAACCATTCATTCATTTTGTAAAACAAAATGTGATTTTGTTTAAGTTTATAATTGTCCGATAAATCTAATCTTTTTTATAGATAACCTTCACTATGAAACCTATGAATACACGATTTGGATCATCAAAGTGAGTTCGAATTGAATCCCACAAGAGGAGTATAGATAGATATGGAAAGCTGAAGTATAAAATGGAACTAACTCTGAATAAAATTGTAGAGATGTTATAAAAAGTCTCAAACATTTTCTAAATGTTAATATTAATTACCCCTTATAATTTTGAAAATTAAATCTCACTTAAAAATTTCTAATCTCATAACAATTAACTCCTTTCATTAACAACCATTAAATCAATTAACAATTTTAATGATGCAAATAATATATTTTAATTGACAATTCTAATTATTTCATTGTTCCGGGGCCATATTTGTAATTAATCCCCTTTTTTTTTAAGATTGTGGAAAATTGAGAACGGGGATTTGGCGGGCTGTGATCCATCACATTCTTATAGTACGTGTATATAAAAAGTATATAAAATTGGCAGAGTCTATCAAATTTATTTATTCTTATATAACAATAAATCTAGGATTAAATCTCTTTTTTAAGAGGTCCCTAGGCAATCAATAATTTCAATCAAACAAGACAGCTTCAAAATCCACATGTAATATAGCAGAAACTTAAAACAAAAGTAGGCCATTTAAAAAAAAAAAAAAAAAGAGGCAGCACTTCAACTGCAATTTCAAATCTCACCCTGGTCGGATATCGCCAACCAATTAGTGCAAGGAGTTAAAGACAGACCGGACACATACAAATGACCAAAACATTAATTCAGTATCTCCTTTTATTTTAACAAATACCTGAAGAGGTATAATCTCTTTTCTTCAAACAATTGCTGGATAAGAGTATCCTAACAACTGTTAAATGCAAAGCAAAATGCAGAGCAAAGCACTAACCAACAAGCTCAACTTCAGAGAAAGTTTCGGATGTCTAATGACTTCACATCAACCATCGCCTCATCCTTAAATTCCTCCCTGAAATATATTGAAACCATTCCATCAATTTGAAACCAAAAAACAAAACCTGTATAAATGTAGATGGTGCAGACAGATGCATAGTAATTGAAGCAGAACACACACTATGGGTATAATAACAGTTGGCAGCAACCCAGCCTTTCAGTGCAAGGGTCATGGGCCTGAAGCTCCCCTCGTGGGGTTAGAAGCCAAGTATCTACCAACACGGCGGGGTAAAAATGAACCGTTGTACGGAGCAATATGGTATACTGTTCAATTCACTTATTGATATTGCAACCAAACTTCAGTGTCACCGTGCAGTTCGTTCACCCACCAGTGAATCTTTGGCCCCCACGAGATTTTTGTATAATCACCAAGTTGTGTGCTTTCTCAAAATTAGTGATTATGTGTCAGAAGCACATATACCACTAAGACTGCATATGAACCTAGCCAAGCCAGGTTCTTGGCTATTAACGCCCAGTTCAGTGAAGGAAGAAAGGTGTTCGAGCTCGGTTTGAACTTGAGCTAGCTTCCCAACTATATTAAGCTATGGTTGCCATTTTTTTATTGAGCTTGAGCTCAACTCAGCTTGGCACAAGGTTTATTTACCCATCTTATAATCTTTATAATCAGAACAATATCAACAAGGCAAGTAACTGATCCACATCACCAGATCCAAAATGAAAAAATCTACACAAGGAAATTTGGGGGTTGGAAACTCTTTGATCAAAAGTAATTTCTTTTTCTTTTTCTTTCAATCAACTCATACAAATCTGACATCAGCTTTTCTCAGAACACAACCCTCGGTATGAGACTGGTATCTCTCATCTAAAAGAATGTGAAGCTCTGAGCCATAAGACACTAATACCTTCTGGAGATGACAAGCATCTAGAATCTCATACTGCTTTACTTAAAATCAACAAGTCAAGAAAGATTATGGTGTATCAAAAGGTAAGATGTTCATCAGAAGCCACATACCTTTTCTTTTGAGTTTCCATTGCCTCAACAGCTTCTTTCTTCAGCTCCTCCAACTGTGCTTTGGCAATTTTGAGTTCCAACTGTTCTTCATACTTCGGCAGATCTTCCCTCCTTATTCCAAGTCTGATAAGAGAAACAAACATGTTATCCTTTCCCTTAAAAACAAAATTTGTGAAGCCTGCATAACCTTGTTTTCCTCATTATCGAAACTTAGGAAGCGACTATAGATCATTCAAGGCAATTATTTTATTAATGCATGAAAATAAACACAAAACCCATAATTTTCCAATCATTGGTATTCAGGCATTTTCATTTATTACTCTATTTTTAGTCATTCAGGCATGTTCACTTATTACACCCTTTTTCCCTTCTAATTCTCTTCTCTTTTTTTTTCTTTTTTTTTATTTTTTTTACTTTCAAGACTTCCAAGAACTACACACAGACATGCTGACAAGGACCACAGGAAACATAGAACAGAAGTGGACATGACAAGAATGATGATTCCATTTGAACATGTCTATGTCGGCCCCAGAAATTGGCGCAAGTAAAATCGGATGTACATGCAAAAACAGGCAAAAAAAATTCTACCATCTGTGAGGGTCTGTGGGTTAAGCACACCTGACCACCTCAAAGAAAAGAACATTCAATTCGTGAGATGGTCTTACTTCTTATTGATCTTATCAAATTCTGCCATAAGAAGACCCATTCCCTTCTTGTCATTCCGCATGAGTGGTTTCTTAAGTTCTTTTTCAATTTTTTCCAATGCATCCATCATCATAGCCTCTGCACCAAGTTCATCAGTTAGGCCCCTCCTGCAACAAAGAGATTATTGAATCAATATAGGAAGGACAAATGACAATATTAATAAAAAATGCAATGAGTTCAAACATAAGAAAATGAGGTTGTCAGCAGCAAAACTAAAAGTTGTTAACGGGTGCAAGGACAAGCTTCAAGCATGATATAATCATTAACTAGTAAAGCAGGCAAATTTTAACACTCTAGCAGACAATACAGATTTTAAGACCAAATTAAATTATTTGTTTTAATAACATAGCTGGTCAACATATTTGTTGTGTTACGTAAAATAGAAAACTCAAAATTGATGTCCAGTCACAATTACATGCAAGTATCACATATGGCAAGGTAGGGAAAACAGGTGTTAAGACAGTCACAAGTGCAGAAGTGTGAGACTGAGAAAAAACAGAATTCAAGCAATGCAGACACCTGATTCGAATTTCCCTCAGCGTCAACAGATATGTTCGGGCATCTGGAATATCTTGCGTTCGTGTTTGAATGGTGTATTGAATTCTTTGAGATTCTGAGAACAAGTCTGCCCTGAAATGATACAATGCCATAACATATAATGCATTATCAATCCAAATGGTGACATGGGTAGAAGCTCAATTGAACACAAAGAAAACAAGATGCAATTGCCCTAAGTGCAACATATAAAATATCCATCCCTTCCTTGGGCACGCCTATGGGAGCGTGTATAAATTTGATATATGAAATATTATATTCTTAAAAAAAAAGTTGGGGGGGCGGGGGAGAATTTGCATAGTTGTAATTATAGATATTGATGTCAACTACAAATTCTCTTTGTTAAATATAAATAAATACTCTGTGAATACGAAGTCCTAGAGAAAGTCTGAGTTGTTTTTCTTTTATTTCTTTGAGATTTGCATGTTGGAGAGGTTCTACCTCGGTTGAGAGGGAGTTTCTTACAATTTTCTTTTTTGGAAGTGTGGAATCGAGTTTTTAAGTAAGAAACGTCACCCCGGTAGGAGTTCCCTGCTACTAAGAGATATATAAGAGAACTGCAAGAAAGCATACAACAATAACATAGTACATGGTAAATATGTCACTCTTCTCAATTGATCAAACTCAAGGAAATATGTAAATTTTATGTAGAAACTTGTTCAACATCCATCAATCTAATCAACAAATGCCTTGTTTGAATGGCTAGATGGGAATTCCAATCAGATAGGATAGGAAATTGTACACACCATTTTCCTTTCTAGTGTTTGGCCTATAATTGGTTGAATTTGTAGTGTGTAAATTCTGTTAGCTATTTGGACAAGAATCAATTTGGTATAGTTCGTATGGAATAGTTCGTATGGAGACAATGAATGGATACAGCTCAAACATTTGTAATTTAAGGAGAATATCACCTATGAAGCACGGATACGGACATAGACACACATACGGACATGGACACGGATACAACAATTTTAAAAAAATGGGAACACGGACATGACAGGGGACACAGCAGATTTTTTAATTTTTTTATAAATATTTTTATTTTAATACACATTAATTATTTTATTTATTTATTATATTTTTTAAATAATGTGTTCCAATAAATTTTTTTATTTTATTTCACATACATGTGTTTATTTTTTTATTATTAATATATATAAGTATATATTATCTTATAATATGTATTATTTATTATCTTATAAATATATTATATGTATAATAACTGTTATATAATATAAGAGTTATATAAAAATAATATAATAGTTATATAATAATAACTTTAACTATTATAATAATAATAATACTTTCAGTTATTATTATTATATAATAATAATAGTTTTATATATATATATATGAATCAAGAAGCTGAAAGAAGATAAAGACGCGACAGAGAGAGAGAGAGAGAGAGAGGAAGAAGCTCGCGATCGCGATCGCGAGGGAGAGAGAGAGCTCGTCGAAGTCGAAGGGCGACCGAATCGTCGAAGTCGAAGGGGATAGAGGTCGAGGTCGACAGCTTACGGTGGTCGAAGTCATGGAAACCGACAGGCGGGTCGACTGGATCGAAGTCCAAGTTTGTTTCAAGACGTTTACTCTTCTCCTTTACTCTTCTTTTTTGCTCTTTGTGTCCAGATTTGGACACGCGTCCAGATTTGGTGGACACGCGTGTCACCGCCGTGTCCCCTGTAAAAAAATAATTAAATTAAAGGGACACGCCCGGCGTGTCCCCGTGTCAGACACTGCCACGGCATGAAATCTGCCATGTCCATGCTTCATAGAGTATCACAGTTTACCCAAATTTGTGGACGAATCATATGGGAATGTCAGTAGTACTAACTTAGACACACTAACCAAAAACCCTGGTTTGAGTTCTGACTTGTGGCAAATGATGCTTAACAGAAGCAAATGTTTTTACATTATTTCCCTACCTCAATTATTACATTTACTTTATTTTGAAAATTGATTTTAGTTGAAATTTGTTGGATAAGGGCAAGTTCGTCATATTAAAACTTTAAAACAATGATGTTATCATTTTCAATCTAGTGTTTTAACAGATAGTTAACGAACAAGTGTTGCATATACTGTCTAGTAAAAACATGAAGGGGTGTCCTTGAAATTATCAAAAGGTGTATTAGTGTAATTTACCGTACTAGTTTTTACAATTTTAACAGCAAAATTCATGATTATAGGACCTACTTGTTCCCAAATCAAAACCAAACTCCACTTGGTACTTCAAATTTCAAAGAAAACTAAACCTAAATTATAATAAATTCAAGTGATACAAGAGATTTGGAAAAGAAAAGAAAATAATCTATGAAGCATGGACATAAAAATGAAGTACAGTTTTGATATCATATCGACACAAATATGAAGTACAGTAACGATATGATATAGACACAAAATGAAGTACAATTATGAAATAATCTTAAAAAGTAGGATACGAATATGTCAAGGATACAGAGGCAGATATGTTAATGCTAGGACTAGCATTGGTTGGCAATTTCATTCCTATATACTGTGCACCTTAGATAGAAACCAAGCCACTGCCATTTAGAGATAGCACATTGGACAAGCCTTAGAGCTTTGAAAACATGGGAACCATGGGAGAGCTTCATCAGCATGAAAGATGCTACCGGAGAACTTCATCAACACTAAGATTGCTTTGGACAAGATCGAGAATAGGAAGACCATGAAGAGTGACCACTACCGTCCATCTAGTCATCTTGGTTGACCAACTTGGGAGGTTGGTCAACTAGAACTATCAACTTGCTTTCAAGTTGGTTGACTAGAAAAAGGCTCAAATTCAACCTCGTACATTTACAAGAGTTGAACAATAATAATAAAAAAAAGGAAGTTGGGATATTGATAAAAAAAAATAAAAAAGTGACCTATTCACCCTCTCCTAGGACTTTTTTAAGGATATGTCTATTTATGTATGTACCATACGCATGCACGTATGCATGGCCACAATATATTGTGACAATTATCATTCTATATATAATATATCAATCAAATATTCTCAATTTCAAACTTTTTAACATATTCACACAAAAGTTTAAATTATAGTATACAAGCATGAACTTGGACCGAATTTGACATGGTCTCATTATTTCCCTATTTTTCTTCTGTAATATGTATGCTAAGTATGGGAAACCACCCTTTCAATTCCATATACCAAAAAAATGCCAAATTTGATTTCATAGATGTTTTGGATACTTTACCTTGAGTAAGTAGGAAGTATCCGACATGGTTTTCAGGATTTCGATCCGGATTGTAAGATCTTAAGATTCTGAGATTCTAGTTGGGCTAAACAATTTGGATCGCACTAGGATCTTAAATTCAGTAAGATCTCCTAATCATAAAATCATGTAGAATCACACTACGATCCCAATCCAACTAATTTTTTTATTATTATTTGTTTTTTATATATGTATGTATATGTGTATATTTATATAAGAAATTTGACTATAAACTATTTCTCCAAACATCTCCTTTAATTTATATTAACATAAATAATGCATTATATCAAATTTATCATTTTTCTTTAATTATTTTTAAATTATTTAATAATTTTCTTGTTTTATTTTATATTAAAAGTAGAATCTTACGATCCTCAATCCAATCCACAAGTCCCTCCCAACAATCGATCCTACCTAGGATCCTGGTTTTAACAACCTTGGTATCCAACACTATAAAGTTAAAAAGAATTACTTTCAAATTCTCGATACATTTAACAAGTATCATGTAGTCTAGTGTCGTCAAGTAACAAAGGAGTATCAGTATCTTATGAGTACAATACAAGCACAACTACATATACCCTCAAAAAAAAAAAAAACGGACACAAAAAAAAAAAAGGAAGAAAAAGAAGAGAAGAAAAGAACAAATAGATACCACTCTCTCTCTCTCTCTCTCTCTCTCTCTCTCACACACACACACACACACACAAAAGCCAGGGAAAAAATGAATAAACAAGAGTAAATCAGTGATCAGAAAAAGTTTGCTCAAGGAAAACTTTGTTGGCAGTTATTCAGCAAAGCAGCCCTCTCATCATTTTCTCCCATGGCAGTTAAAGAGTAGAGGTTTTGAAATTGATACCATGGGATTATAGTGAATCATTTTCTCCCATGGCAGCCATCTTTTCTAAACCACCATCTCATGAGATTGTTTTATCCCCCAGAAGCAGAGATGATCATTTCTGGATAATTTTATCTGATTCGCTGTGCTGCCCCAAGCATGGGACAAGAAGTCGATGGAATATGGCTATCCAATCCATCCAAGTGTGGTCAAACTGATTTATGGCCACAAATATCCTCAGATACACATTTGAGAAACACAGGGATCCATTAAAAACAAATGGGAATTTAAAAATTAAAAATTAAAAATATGGCTCACATACGTGCATCCATGATCAATTTTGCAAATGCCTCTTAAGAAGAAAGTACCAAGGTACTTGTTAATGCTGTTGGAGAAGACAAAAATCGACACGAACTCACAATTGGCCGTATGTAATTAAGCGACAAGAAGTCTTGTTACAATTTTTCCATCATGTTGCTAAGTTATTGCCATCTACTATGTGGTGTCTTATTCAATAGAAATATACTCCATATCAAGTAAATTAGGGGTGACCATTGGCTCAATGGTAAAACCTTGGCCTAATAACCTTGAGGTTATGAGTTCAAGTCTCGAGGCAACCACTTTGTGCACTATGCCAAAAGTTAGGTGTGCACCCAATCTTTCTCCTCCCAAACACACACATTAATGTGTACTATTTGGGCTTCTTTTTTTTATCAAATAAATTAGGCTCCATATCAAGTAAATTAGACTCCACTAACAAAGCAGTAATATTACTGTCTTCATATGGATTTTCTGCAGCATCTATCATGGAATCAACTGTTCTTAAGGTGCAATGGAATATGAAGTATTGAATAATGCATCAACTACTTTGGTTGCTACAGAAGAGCATATCATTTTAGCTACAAAATTCAAACTAATTGACATATATTGACTGGCTGTGCTAGTTGTCAAAGACTCAAGTACAATTTATCAAATTTAGAAGTTTAAAAATGAGGTTAATCAAACGTTAGGACATCTAAGGATATGGTATCCAATGCATATATTCTTTTCATGAATTAATCGATGGGTTCCAGAATGGCTTCGGACAAACTAGAATGGGTTGGGTTGTGTTGGATTGGATTGGGTTGCATGGACCGTGAACCATAGCCAAACCAAATCAATCCATGTAATGCTCAGTTTGTGCTGAAGTTTTTCCAGTGGAAGCTATTCAAACCAAACCTGGTTCACTAACAATGGACTTGAAGGCTCAGCTCAATAAGTTGTGCTGGCCAAGATTATAGTTTGAAAAACTAAATGCCATCAAGAAACTTGTGCTTGTCCAGGTTCAATGCACCAAAGTTATTTGGTCAATCTTTTACCTCTCAATGGTATTCCCTTTTCTCCCTTTATATTGAAGTATTCATTATTTCCGATAATCTTCTGCTTTCTTTTCCAATAACGTTTCCCTTTTTGATATACCCATACTGAAAAATGAAGTCACTTCCAATTATATAAGCTTTATGCAGTGAACCAAAAGAAAACTATTTAAGGTTGTGTATAAACATTTACAAGGATGTGATATAATGATGAATTGTAACACGCATGGGTTCATGAGACTAAAACAAGTGATTGTTCTTTCTTAAATCACAACAGGGTTGTCTGCAACAAAGAGCCATCTTTTATTGAAACAAACAAAAAAATGGGAGAAATAAAGAGATAAATAAATGAAGAACTTACTTTTCTCTAACAGTCTTCATGACCTTCGCATAGTGCTGAACTGCAGCTGGCTCATTAGGGTCTATTGTGATCTTTTCCTTCCGTAGTACACTCATAGCAGTCTCAAATTTGTTCTTAACCTCCAAGAAAATGTTCTTCAGCATCTCTTTTCAGCTCAAATACAATTCATTTGTTAGAGATAGTTACTAATTTCCACAAACATTAAAAATCAAACAACGTTCATAAATTGGTGAGAAGACGTAAAATTTTTTGTAGAACAATAGCTCTTAAATTCATTGAACTGCTGGGAAGAAAATCTCATCTATCAATTTTTATAAACAGGGGAAACAGAAAGAAAATCAAATCAGGTAAATGTGAATCCTAATAATTCCTCAATCATTTAAATTTACCAGTATTACACTAAACCTCACAGACTCTCAACATCTTAAGGTTCTATTTTTTTGACAAAAAATTAATGATTAGATACACTACAGCAACTCAAATAGTTAAATGCAGGGTTCGATTGCAATAATAACATCCCTGTATACAGGGGTGTGGCCAGCAGGGACATTGCCCCCACCCCTCCTCAACAAAAAATTTGAAAAGGCCCCACATATATGAGGAGTTTTTTAAAATTTCATGAAATATTCAGTTATTGGCCACTTCTATGACTAAGTTTACTAAATCGTGATTGATTCTTTAAACCCCTGTAATAAGAGACATTAGACTTTCCTATAACGATATAGGCCACTTGAATGTCCTTACAGGACAATTCACTGTATCGTAATGATGTAACATCATCATCATTAAAATAAAAATAAAAAAAAATTCCATTCACTGTGGCATCTCAAAAATCTTTTCCATTCACTGGGTGATGTTTCCAACAAAAAAATAAAATAAAATAAAAAAAAGAAGAAGATAAAAAACAGCAACAAATTGAAACGAGTGTCTACGAGGTGTTCGTGTATCACACACACGTACATACCCTTTAGGAATGTGTCCAAGGGTGATGCTACATAGAATGAGGGGTGTCAACTAAACCAACAAAAAAATGTATATATTACATATTTTTTTTGGTTTTAGGATTTGAATGATATTTTTTCCCCATAAGAGACGAGATTTCCTTTCCTTTCGACTCATGACTTTGATTGTCCTTTCTTCACTGTAAGTTGCCTTAAAGTGCCTTCCAGATTTTAAAGTGAAAAGGTAGGGTAGCTTTCCCATGAGGACTAGCGCCCATGTAGAAGAAGGGATAGATTCCTGTGTGTCCTCTCTCTCATGAGCTCCTCTAAAGCGTAGTTAAGACTATGGATAATAAAATCTACAGCTACCTTCTCTTTGTTGGCCGGCTCAGAAGTGAATCTTTATATAATCACATTGAACCATTGGAAAAAAGGGTTTGAGAGAGAGAGAGAGAGAGAGAGAGAAGTCCAAGAAATCTACTAAAACAAAACTCGTAAAATGAAAGAAATGGAGCTTGTAATTAATCTTGGTCTGTCCATTGTAAAAAAGTGATGTTAGAGAGCGAGAGAGCCTATGTGGGTGTGGGTGTGGGTGTGGGTGTGGGTGTGGGTGTTTACAATATATAATATATATGTAAAGAGCAGTGCCCCTAAGACAACCTTTTCTTTCTCTTTTCCTCTTATGTAGTCTAACCAAACAACACAACTGGGAATTCACACTCTTTATCTTTCTTACTTATCCAAACAAGAGGTGAGAAAACACTCATTTATTTTCTTTTCTTACCCAGCACACATAAGTTTATCAATTTATTAAAAATAGGCGCTAAATATTGACATGTGTGAAAGGGCCACTTGGCCCAACAAAAAGGTTTGTCGATTCTCTTAGCATGTATGATATATACACAACTCCACAGTATCCTAGGTTCTAAAAGAGATTATTGAGGAAAAACACATGCACAAACATGTATTCATATATATGTACTAAATATGAACACATATGTGGACTTCCACAAAATGATGAAAGGTTGCATTTACATGATATGTATTAAGCCTGCTAATAAATGATATCACTGATAGAGAAATGTACATGTGATTGCTATGAGAGAGAGAGACAGAGAGAAACTCTCCATATACACTAACCATCTCCTTTAAGGGCTGGACGAGGAGCGGCTTCTTTGGCAAAGAAACGGACAGGAACCGCATGCTCCCGTTGCAGCAGGATGTGGCCAGAATACAACTGTACAACCAAAACAAAATAAATAAACATATAGCAGGTCAAACAATATAGATGCTCAAAAAAAACAAATATGGCATTTAACGAAAACATTGCCATGTGTGCTGCATCATTGGAACAAACATATTCCTTAAAATTCCATTGGCAATGCAAGGGCAACAAGTTTTTTTATCTACAAAATGAAGACCGCCATGCTTATTATTCTTCTTTAATTTTTCCTCAAAGAAAAAACTGATTTCGATACAGATTATTGAATATGGGGATATCTTCCAAAAAGAAAAATAAAATTCTGACGTAACTTAGCATTGTCCCATTTGACTATAACTAGGGCTTTAATAACAGTGAACCCAAAAACATATTTGTTAAATATAACAAATTTTAAAATCAAAATGATACAACCAAATCTCTCCTTTAAACTAGAAATTTGTTTTCATTTGCTCATCAAAATTAGAATGCACAAAGAGGGCTTTCTATCATAACAAAAAGAAAACCTAAAAAATTACAATAGTTACAGATTCCATTTTACATATCCAAATTAGGATATCTACATATCTTATCATCTATCTACATGAGAAAATAATAGATCAGATCATAACCACAAACCCTGTAAATCAAATCAAGGAATGAGTTATTCACATGAATTCTGAATCAACAGCACATGAATCAGGAACAGAAAGCTTGCAGATGTAGGTGAATAGATGTGTAAAATGAATGAATGAACCTGTTTCGATTTGGATAAGAGGCGAGAAGAAAAGGCCATGATCAAAGCTCAGTTATCGTCGTCTTCCTCTTCCTCCGTCAGATTAGGATTAGGGTTAGGGTTAGGGTTTGGATCCGATTTTGGGGTGTAGTTCCTTATCAAACTCGAGAGCTCTCTCTCGTCTAAACTTGATGAGGGTCAGACTGTCAAGAGTGCGGTTATCTAATTGTGGACCGTTGATGTACCAATTCGAAATCTAACAGTGGGGAGTTGCAGTCCCTTATTTAATTCACAAATAAAATGCTTTCTTTTATTAGTCTAATTATTTTTATTTTATGTTCCAATAAGGCCTTGTTTAGGAATAGATTTTTTTAGTAATTTTTTAATTTTTTAACTAAAATATGATGTAAAAAAAATTAGTATGTTTGGCATGACCTTTTGGCTTTTCACAAAAAGATGTGCAAAAAGTGAAGAGAAAAAAGAATCTTTGACTTTTTTGTATAAGTTGTTTGCTTTTTGGTTTTTTTTAGTAACTTTTTGACTTTTTGAATAAAACAGTCACTTGCCAAACGAGGCCTAAATTCTATAGGTGATATAATTACTAAAATATTTTTAATAATAATATTCACATTAACATTCATATTGACAGTCATTCACATGTTAATGTAAACTTTACACTGTAAAATATAAATGTTCATATTTCCAAATTACCAAGCGCTCAAAAAATATTTATAAGAGTAAAATTGTTCATAAAATACTTTAAATATAAAAATTAAGATTTTGTATATCAAATATTGATTGAGGCTTAGATATGTTACACTAGGGCCGATAATAGATATTATTTAACGCCTTTATTTCTATAACTTGGCATACTTCATAAGGATTTAATTTGAATTAGGTTGGACGTGCACAAATGTAAAACTAGTCAAAAAGTGGCTAAAGTAGAACTGCAGCGAAGCGAACACTCCCGCACGTGCAGTTATACCTCGAAAAGCATGCGTGATTTTTTGAACCTGTCTTGGGAGTCTAAAGGTATAAAAAGAATAATAGAAAGCTGGACAAGAATTCGAATATTTTTTTGAAGACAGGGAGAGGCTAGGGTTTGGAAGAGAAGACTTGGACTTCAAGGTGGTGCTTCCATGGCAATCTCAACCTCTTTCTCATCTTTTCACTCATTTATGAGCATAAGCTTCTATTTTCTAGGGGTTTGATGAAATCCTAACCATGTACATAGAGTTTTAACTAAGCTTTGATTGTTTGAACGGTTTAAGCAAGTTGTGTGAATGTTTTGGAGATTTAAATTTCATGTGTTCCTATCTCTTTCAATATTCTTCTTTCTGTGATTGAATAATGTTTTTCATACAATGGTTTTCTTTGTGTTATATTTAGAAAATGAGACGAATCACGCTATGAGAGACGAGTCGTGTTGCTACTTTAGTTTAGAGCGAGTAACTCATACTACTTGAGATAATTCGTACTTATACTTTGAACTCAACAATAGTCTTGATCAATATTTCAAACGTGTAGATATGAAACATTGGATAGTTCAAACTGAATTGTAATTAATGACCAATGTTAAACCCTATTTATGCGACTATTGGTGAATTCTTTGCCTTAAAATTTTTCCCAAATTAATTTCACAAGCCTTAATATTCATTGTTAATTTAATTTCTCTTTTTCATTGTAATTCTAGTTTCAATATAATTCTCATCAATCTTCTTTTTTTTTTTTAATCAAAATTAATTTAGAAATCTTACAAGTTGAATTAGTTTAATTTTACATTAGTCCTAGTGGATCGACTTACCATTATTCTAAGGAATTCGGGTATAGTTTAGTGTTTATTTTTGGTGTGCTTAACGACGCACCAAATATCCAAATAATAGGACTTATTGAAATACAAGAATATGTTATGGACTAATTAGGATACAAGTACTAATTGGGATACAAGTATTTGTAATTTACTCTTTTTTTCCTTTCATTTCATATTACTTGAGAGTTCTATAGTTTCGAAATATTGATAATTATTATTATTTTTTATTATTATTTTTTTTTTTGAATTTCAAACTAAGCTTTGTTCTAAAACATTTTAACCTAATATTTGCCATTTGACTAAATTCTTTCTCCATCACTGTATACACTACAAAACATATTTGCCATTCTACCAATTTGGCTAATCATGTAATATGTAACTTTTCAAAAATTATTACTCGAATAACATTATCAAATATTTGATTAAAATCCATTTTCCATAACATAAATGTAGAAGCGATTGAATTAATGAATAAACAATAATATTATCTCTCGTATATATATATATATATGATGAAACATTTTATACAATCAGTTACAATGCCCTTAAGTTTACATTGAAGGAAAATAAACAAAGGAATTTAACCTCTATCCATATTATTGGCATCCCTCCCATATAACAATAGGTCCTGTAGCCAACAAATAAATAAATCTCATCTCCAAAGAAACCTTTCATGCCTACACCTGTAAACTAATAAACAACGTGAGATAAACATATAGTCTAGTAAGAATCCCAATGACTCAAAACAATAATATCATATGGATAGATAAGATCATGAATGCTCCACATCATAAGTACATTAGTGTTGACTTTTATATCCAAAATATACATATATACATATATTTTTCTCAAAAGTTACTTCTTTAACTATTTCAAGAAAACGATTCTTATCTTTACAATTCCTCAATTTTGATTCGAAATAGTTTATCAACTTCAATTATTTTTAAAAGAAAATTCATACTACTACTACACCAAACGACTACATCAATCCACTCCCAAACATAGCCTCACATCTACCCATTACTGAATACGGAGAGTCATTTGGACATCTCATACATTTCAATCAATTACAAGTATTACAACACATGTACAGATATACCAACAATAAAGCAATAAGCACATAATTACCGTGGTCTCGCCAAACCCCACATCACAAACATCAGCCTACTTTACCGGGTGCTAACGGAAGGAATGCATTACCTTTATATAGCACATCCGCATGCTTTAGCAGGTACTAACCAAAAGGAACACATTACCTCTATATAGCACATCAGTCCGCGTGATGTCCCAAAAATCGCGAACATCAAAGAATATTAACAATTAAATACAGGGTTTATCTAAGATTAGGAGTCTAGGAAACGGCACTAATAAGTCCTATGGCCAATAACTAAGTAAGATCTCAGATCGCCGGAGGAGTCAAGTTAACCTTCCTTCTAAGTCCAGCTTTCTTAGGTAGCGCACTATCCTTTTAACAGATCTTAAAAGGCATTGATGCAAGGTCTCATAAGCAATGCACAGATAGGCATAGGATTACAAGGTAAATAATAATTACAGTGTCTCAAATTTTAAATTTACAAAACGAGTCCCATTACTATTACAATCCAAGAATAAATAAAAGCACAGTCCAACTAATAAGCGAAATGGTTCCGAACTTTCTCTAAGGCAAACTTAAGTCTTCAAATGTTTTTGACTCTTCGTTGGTTTTGTACATTTCTTTTAATATCTGGCATGAAAAGCTATGAGCTTTGAATGCCCAGTAAATACGCACACACCCTGTCATTTTTCCCAATCTAATACACAATTGCAAATTACAACAATAGGGGAAAGGAGAATGACATTCAAGTAATTAACATAGGTTATAGGGTTAGTTGTTAGTAGTCTAGAAATCCCCCCAAAGAGATTTCGTCCTCCCAATCGCAAGGATCGGACGCGGATTATTTGGTATGCCCCCTCTTTTGCTGCTTTGTTGCAGAACTTACCTCGGATGCCTAGCAACGGTTATATACCACGTAGCGCCAACTGTAGGGCCTCAAAAGAGACGGTAATAATGGGCCTTGCCCAAATCCCTCCTTACACCAAATACCTAGGTTCTGCCGTTCAAGGGTTCCAAAAACCACTTGCTCAAGACTTTAACTTCCAAATAGGGAACGCATCCTATCAACCAATCAATATCTTAGTAACTTGTCCAAAAATTCGCAACCCATTACCACCCATTAAGTTTCCCGTTTGAGTTAGATAATTTAAGGTAGAGTTAGGACATGCTCTTGAAACAACATCTATTGCACAAGTATGAACAACTAAATAGTAAAAATAGAAGGAAATAAAGTTACAACGCATGAGATTCACATATGAAGATAGGCACAAGTAGCTCTAGGCATATTCAAGTAGTTAAGGGAATAATTTCACATAAAAATATAATTTCCAGATTTGCATAAGTATGAGCACCATCGAAGGATTAAAATAAAATACATAAACCTATGGCACGTGTAATATCATACCGAGATATGATCATAAATTAATAAGCATATTCATGAACACAAGAGCATAAAATACCAATGAAAACAGAATTTTCAGATTTAGTACTACCTAAAGATTATACTCAAAAGGGCTATTTTAGATTTTTTTTTCCAGAGCCCGACCTTTCTATGGTTCATAGGGAATTTTATCTAGTTCTCAGAACATTTTTTAGAAATGGAATAGCTTTTCCAGATTTTTAGTTATTTCAGAAATACTCCAGCTCTGTCCAAATTCGTCGACCGTTACGAAAATCAGATTTTCTCACAAACCGCTCACTCTTTTTCAATGAAATCAATTTTCCTTAAAAGCTAACTCCTTAAGAAAGATTTTGACATAAAATGGAGGTCCAGAAGAGTTTTACACATTTTTCTAAAATTTTCACAAGGTGGCTGTAAAACAGATTTTTCTAGCACAGTTCTTGAAAATAGAAAGTTTGTGAGAAAATAGGTCAGCTAAGGGAAATTTTCCACTTCTCTTGTGATGAAAACATGCTAAATAATATGTATTAAACTCAAAATTTTAAGGTGAAGGTGTGCCTTTGAAAATTTTGAGAGATTGATATGGAAAAAGGTAGTCTTATACCGATTAAAAAAAATAGAAGAAGGGTAGAATCAAGGCTCAACTCCTTTCATTTTTAACACAAGAATACCATTAGAACACATCTGAAAATATCATTTTAAACTTCTAATAACATGTATTTGAGAAAGAAAAATGAAAGAGAGAGTTGTGTTGT